GCCGGCCATGGTGATGGTGTGGGCTGCCATAACAGCCGATGGTCACTCTCCGCTCGTATTAAGCGACCGTGGAATCAGAATAAATGCCGAATATTTTCGCGAAAATATTCTGCAGGGTGTATTATAGCCTTGAGCACGCAAACATTTTGGCTGCAGACCTTGGACATTCCAACAGGACTCGGCACCATCGCACTCAGCACGCGCCACCCAAGAATGGTTACAAAATGAGGTTCCTCGCTTCATTTCCAGCGCACAATGGCCACCAAAATCTCCGGATACCAATCCGTTGGACTATTTTGTCTAAAGTATTTTGGAAAGCAAGGTTGATTTGCTATTTCCAACATTTTTGATTTTATTTTATGAAATTAAAAAAAAAATTAAAAAATGTGGCGTTTGACTTTGTTGCAGTTTTTTGTATATCACCCTGTATAACTGTATTTTTGCATTTTTAAGGTATCCCAGTATTGGAATTCTGTAATTCAATTTCTGAATTACCGAAAAAAAATCGGTAAAATTCAAATTGTTATAGTTTCGGAAAGTAGTCGCTAAGACCTTCCTATATTTACATTTATATATCAAAATTTTGCGTTTGAAATTTACCGATTTTTGTCGGTTACTCAAAAATAAATTAGAGAATCCCAATACAGTCGTCTTCTTTATGAAAAAGTAATTTGACATTTTTTCTCCAATATTTATAGAATTTTTTGTTATGTATTTAATATGAAAATTATTTAAATATTGTATTTGTAATTGAAATTTACATTTTTTATTTCACGAATTTTCGCAACACCAACAACATCCATACGCATATAGAAAATCTGCGTCTAGAAGAAAACGACACCAAGAATTTGGACTAACACCATTTTTTATGGTCGTGGGAAAATTATGTTTTCCCCCATCATCGTAGGCGGACAGTACTATTTCAGTGTTGATGTGATGTCGTCGATGTCGTGTTCTTGGCCGACAATAATTATGACGCGTTCGTGGCTATTTTTATCCAAAATAATAATCTAGATAAGAATTTGTGCTCTAAGTTCATGATCATTTTAAGTGTGAAAATTATTAAATTAGGAATGTGTATTCGGATACAATACATAGTGGTCAGGGTATTATGCCTTTGTGCATTTGTTTGTGTATGAGGGGAGGTACAAAACGAGAAGGAAACGAGATAGACCCATAGTTCCTTTTGGTGAGCAGCATAGAATCACATTTTTGTAAACAAACTCAGGTCGCATTTATTATTCGGTTGAGATTTTTCTAAATAACATTTGTTTGGCTCAAGGACGAACTCTATTGAAATTGATGAAAATCGGTCTAAATTAAGATATAGCTCCCATATATATATTCATCCGATTTTAGGTTTCTTGTGCACCAAATGGCTAATAACAGTACAAATGGTGTGAATTTTGCTGCATCCGACCGAATTCAGCCTAAAAGCTTGTGCTTCAAATTTGGTGAAAATCGGTTCAGATATAGCTATAGCCCCCATATATATGTTTCATCCGATTTTGGTGTTTAAGTCCCTCACATTCGCAATATACACCCCATAAAAATGATATTTGGTACCAGATATTAGATTCAGCCTTGCATTACATGATTCAAATTTTATCAAGATCGAATCAGATATGGATATAGCTTCCCTATATATCTTCGTCCGATTTTAGGGTTTTTTGTGCACCAAATGGCTAATAGTAGTCCAAATAGATTCTCGGACTTCAACCGAATTTAGAATAGGAGCAAGAATTTCAAAATTTGCTCCCATATATATGTTTCATCCGATTTGGTGTTTAAATCTCCAACTTTCGGAATATTCTCTCTACCATAATCATATTTAGTACCAGATATCTCTTAGAGCTCAGAAATGCCCAATATAAACCTTTATTTTACGAGAGCTGTACTAAATATGCATGGTGGTGTAGGGTATCATATAGTCGGCTCCGCCCGACTTTCGAGCTTTCCTTACTGGTTTTATACCCTCCACCTTGGATAGGAGGGTATTTTAACTTTGTCATTCCATTAAATCGACTCAGAATTTTATGCAGATTATTTATTCGTCGTAGACGTAGGTATATATATTCATAATCTGCATACAATTCTGAGTCGATTTAACGATGTCCATCTGTCTATCTACCCGTCCGTCTGTCTGTTGAAATCACGATTCAGTCCACATTATTTGACGTAGAGCGTCAAAATTTAGCAGAATAATTTTTGGTATTTGTTGGTCATAAAGGGTTCTAGCTCCGGTGGCGAAACATTGCATGTGTAGGTCCACGATTTGGTATAACCCCCATATAACGGTACCTCCCGATATTCGGTATTTTGATGGGTTTTGTCACATTTTTTCACGGATTTGTCTGATAATTGGTGTTTGTAGGTCATAATGGGTCCTAGTTCGTGTGGCGAAATATTGTCTTTATAGGTCCACGTTTTGGTATACCTCCCATATAACGGTACCTCCAGATATTCGGTATTTTGGCGATTTTTGCCAATTTTCTTAGCGGATTTGACTAAAAATTGGTTTTTGTGTGTCCTAATGAGTTCTAGCTCTGTTCCCGAAACATTGTCTGTATAGGTCCACGTTTTGGAATAGCCGCCATATAACGGTACCTCTCGATTTTGGGTATTTTGATGATTTTTGGCACTTTTCTTCGCGGATTTGTCTAAAAATTTGTATTTGTGTGTCCTCCTAATGGGTTCTAGCTCTGGTGGCGAAACATGGCGTGTATAGGTTCACGTTTTTGTGTAGTCCCAATAGCAATACCTCCCGATATTTTGATGATTTTTGCCACATTTTCCCACGAATATGTCTAAAAATTGGTATTTGTTGGTCACAATGGGTTCTAATATTTCCTTTACCCTAAGGTGGAGGGTATTAAAAGTACTTATTTATAAACACAATATCTCTGGTGTGAAAATGGAATATATTGGTACATCCTTCCCAAATTGGTCAAAATTGTGAATAATCATGAAGCTCATAAACCGCGATATGAGCATCCGATTATTTTCCAACTTGGCGCATCCCAATGGTGTTACCAGCACAAAATCACTTATGAAGAGCGAACATGTCAGACCACTCCCTCTGATATCTCCCAATAATGGGTCAAAATTTTGAATAATTATATCTCTCATAAAATGCGAAATAAGCATCAGATTCTCTTAAAATTTTATTCATCCCAATCTGGTGTGAAGATGAAAGATACCGATCCACCACTTTTTGTGCCTCCCTTCATAAAGGATCACAATTTTCTATACTTAAAAATCTCATAATTTGCGAAAAAAAAAAGTCACCAATTCTTTTAAAACTTGGCAAACAGAGTATCACATGGTCGGCCCCGCATGACTATAGCCTTTTTAACACTTTTTAGTACCTTTTGTACCTTCCACAATAGTATGGAGGGTATATTAAGTTTGTCATTACGTTTGTTACACCTCGAAATATACATTTTAGAACCCAGAAAATATATAGATTCTTGATCAGCATAAAATTTTATGTCGATTTAGCGTGTCCGTCCGGAAACTCTACCTTCCGAACGAAATTTTACTCAAATGAATATTATGTCTGCAGGTCTTTTGGTATTGAAAATGCGCCATGAAGGTCCACGATTTGGTATAGCCCCCATATAACGGTACCTCCCGATATTCGGTATATTAATGATTTTAGAGACATTATATACCGGAATTGTTTCAAATTTGGTATTTGAAGCTCGAAATGCATATAACAGTTTAAGACAGAAAATTGTCTGTGCTTGTGCACGTCTTCGCATAGGCCCCATATGATGGAACCTCCCGATATTCGGTATTTTGATGATGGTAGCGACATTATTCACCAGAATAGTTTTAAATTTGGTATTTGAAGTTTGTAATGGATACTACAGCCTAAGGCAGAAAATTGTCTGTTCAGGTGCAAGTCTTCGCATAGCGCCCAAATAACGGTACCTCCCGATATTCGGTGTTTTGAAGATTTTAGCGACATTATTTACCGCAATTGTTTTAAATTTGGTATTTGAAGTTCGAAATGGATACAACAGCCTACGACAGAAAATTGTCTGTGAAGGTGCACGTCTTCACATAGCCCTCATATGACGGAACCTCCCGATATTCGGTATTTTAATGATTTTAGAGACATTACACACCGGAATTATTTCAAATTTGGTATTTGAATCTCGAAATGGATACTGCAGCCTAAGACAGAAAATTATCTGTGCAGGTCCACGTCTTCGTATAGCCCCCATATGATGGAACCTGCCGATATTCGGTATTTTGATGATATTAGCGACATTATTTACCGGAATCGTTTCAAATTTGGTATTTGAAGTTCGAAATGGATACTACAGCCTAAGACAGAAAATTGTCGGTGCAGTTCCACGTCTTCGCATAGCCCCCATATAAGGGAACCTCCCGATATTAGGTATTTTGATAATTATAGCGACATTACTTACCGGAATTGTTTCAAATTTGGTACTTAGAGATGGTAATGGGAACTACTGCCTGTGACAGAAAATTGTCTATGCAAGTCCAGGTCTTCGTATAGGCTCGATATATCAGTTCCTTCCTATATTCGGTATTTTGACGATTTTAGGTACAATACTCACCGACATTTTTTGAGATGTCGTATTTGAAGTTCGTATTTGAAGCCTGTGACAAAAAATTGTCTATGCAGGTCCAGATCTTCGTACAGCTCCGATATAACGGTACCACCCTATATACACAGTATTGACGATTTTAGCTACATTAATCACCGTTTATTTCAAGTTTCGAATTTGAATATGGTAATGGCTTATGACATACCATGCCTATGTAGGTCCACGTCCAATATAAAGGATATATTCTGTATTTTTAAGATTTTAACAGAATTTTTAACGAATTTTATGTTTTAAAAACTTCCAAATCGGCCCGGCCGAACTTACTGTTTTTTAACTTGTTTACTCTACTTTATATATTTTTTTTTGACTAAAATCAAGTTTATCTTCTAACATATAATTATTCCCTCTCACTTTCAGTTTGCCTTTACCAACCGGCCAATGGCAATCGACCACAAGGATATTTTCGCAACATTTGCTCATATCGCAGTACTCAATTGGTAGGATATCTAATATAAACATTACAATGCAGTATTTCAGAGCAAAAGAATCTAACAAATTACTGTTACAGCCAGTCAGTGAGCCGCGACTACACCTGAATGCCATACGAGAACAAATGCAAATCAGAGCCACTCTACAGGGACCTGAAATTGATGCCTATATTTTACCCTCCTATGATGAACATCTGAATGAGGAGACCAGTGTCAGGGATCAACGTCTGAAATATTTGACGGGATTTAGTGGCACCGATGCCTTTGCTGTGGTCACTTTGAGGGGGGCGGCACTGTGGGTGCAAAATCGTTATGTCCAACAGGCGGATGGTGAATTGGATTGTGATTGGGAAATTTATCGCATGAATGATACGGTGACCATTGTTGATTGGTTGGGTGTAAGTAAAAGTGAATATAAGTGTGTGCGAATGTCAGATATAATATGTTCTGCAATATTCTAGTATCATTTGCGACCTGGCCAACGTGTTGGAGCAGATCCCCATCTTGTGCCCCACCATTTGTGGCGTAAATGGGAAAGTGAGCTGGAAGATCGTATGCTGAAATTGAGAAATGTCAACAATAATCTAATCGATTTGGTGTGGAAGGATCGCCCCGAACCGGATATGATTAAAATTCAAATATTGCATAAATCGTATGCCGGAGAAAAATGGGAGGATAAAATCAAGGAGTTACGTGAAAGATTACATCATTTTAAATGTGATGCCATGATTGTCACCTCTTTGACGGAGATTGCATATCTGTTGAATATACGCGGGCGAGATTTGCCGTTTACACCAGTTATAAAGGTAGGTCATATATATATTTCCATAATAATGACCGACAATTTAATTTCATTTAATTTTGAAAAAATTTGAAGGCATATTTGATTGTCAGTCACCATGACATATTTCTATACGTCGATCGTTTTAAGATGACCTTGGAAGTGTCTGCCCATTTACATACGGATTGTTATAACTCCTTGTGTGTAAAGTAAGTTTATTTGCTTTTCTTATTAAATGTTCTCTTAATGAATTAATTGTTTATTTTCTCTCTCTCTCTCTCTCTCTCTCTCTCTCAGATCTAAGGACTACCAACAGGTCTGGAACGATATACGCACCTATGCCCAAATCTGGAGAAAAGTTCTAATACCCGCCCCATGTGTCCAAGAGCCGGGTGCCTCGGAAATGGTCTACTCTTCGTTTCCGGAGAAAATCATTTTCGAACACATGTCACCCATAATTATGATGCGTGCCCAAAAGAATTCCGTCGAACAGGAGGGTATGCGAATGGCCCATATCAGAGATGGTGCGGCGATATGTGAGGCCATGAGTAATTTGGAAACAAGGGTATGTGTTGGGAGTTCCCTTAAAAAAAGAAGTTAGTTATGAAGAGGATTTTGTTAATGACACGCGTATTGGAATTTTGAACGTTTAAATGGCAAATTATTTTAAAATGGAAAAATTCCTCCCCGCCCTCCACAATTTTATTTTTATACCCTCCATTATTCTATGGAGGGTATATTAAGTTTGTAATTCCGTTTGTAAGACCTCGAAATACACATTTTAGGCCCCACAAAGTATATATATTCTTGATCAGCATAAAATTCTATGTCGATTTATCAATGTCCGTCCGTCTATCCGTATGTGGAAATCACTCTAGCTTCCGAACGAATTAAAGTAGATTGATAAAATGTTGCTCAAATGTATGTTATGTCCGCAGCACTTTTGGTATTGAAAATGGGCCATGTAGGTCCACGTTTTGGTATAGCCCCATATAACTGTACCTACCGATATTCGGTGTTTTAACGATTTTAGGGACATTTTTCACCAGAATTGTTTCAAATTTGATATTTGAAGTTCGTAATGGATACTACAGCCTACGACAGAAAATTGTCTGTGCAGGTCCACGTCTTCGTAGAGCCCCATTTTTCACCGGAATTGTTTCAAATTTGGTACTTCAAGTTCATAATGGATTGCACAGCCTAAGACAGAAAATTGTCTGTGCAGGCCCACTTCTTCGTAGCTCCCATATAAAGGTACCTCCCGATATTCGGCATTTTAATGATTTTAGGGACATTATTCGCCGGAATAGTTTCAGATTTGGTATTTGAAGTTCGTTATGAATGCTACAGCCTAAGACAGATAATTGTCTGTGCAGGTCCACGTCTTCTTAGAGCCCCCATATAAAGGTACCTCCCGATATTCGGTATTTTAATGATTTTAGAGACATTTTTCACCAGAATTGTTTCAAATTTGATATTTGAAGTTCGTAATGGATACTACAGCCTACGACAGAAAATTGTCTGTGCAGGTCCACGTTTTCTTATAGCCCCCTCCAGGTACCGTCACCTCCCAAATATTCGTATTTTGATGATTCCAACAAAATTATTCATCGGAATCGTTTCAAATTTCGTATTTGAAGTTCGTAATAAGTACTACAGCCTATGCCAAAAATTTTTGTATGCAGGTCCAAGTCCTCGTATAGCCCCCATATAACGGTACCTTCCGATATTCAGTATTTTGATGATTTCAGCAACATTATTCACTGGAATCGTTTCAAATTTCGTACTGGAAGATCCTAATTCGTACTACAGCCTATACCAACATTTTTTGTATGCTGGTCCACGTCTTCGTATAGCCCCCATATAGAGGTACCTCCCGATATTCGGTGTTTTGAGGATTATAGCGACATTATAAGCCAGAATAGTTTCAAATTTGGTATTTGAAGTTCGTAATGGATACTACAGCCTATGAGAGAAAATTGTGTGTGCAGGTCCACGTCTTCATAGAGCCCCCATATAAAGGTACCTCCCGATATTCGGTATTTTAATGATTTTATGGACATTTTGCACCGGAATAGTTTCAAATTTGATATTTGATTTTTATTTACGCTCATTCCGATTTTCAGAATTCTAACTTCTATTTGTACAATACAAAGAATTAATTTTTAGTACTTTTCGTACCATTTTAGTACGCATTTCCAAGAACCCAACCTTTACAAACTCCTATGCACCAAGACTGTCTTTCGTGCAAAATTTCATGATTTTAGTTTCGTCAGCTCTATCGGTTCTCCACTATTCCAGTTTGTACAAATTTTAGTACCATTTAAACAGATAGCATCCAATGGAAATCGTATTTCCCAATATCAGGATTCCAGCTCTATCGGTTCACCCAAAACCTAATTGTTCCAAATTTAGTACTATTTAGTACACTTAAGTACGAATTTCCAAAACTTCCTATATACCACAATCCTACAGCTCTATCGGTCACACAAAACCTAATTGTTCCAAATTTAGTACTATTTAGTACACAGAAGTACGAATTTCCAAAACTTCCTACACCTACATAGTAACCCCAATTCCAGTTTTTTTTTTTTTTTGGATTCCATCCCAAAATACAATATGTACCAAATTTAGTACAGTACAGATACGTCAGTAGGAATTTCTAAAATTTCCCAATCTTACACTCCACCAGTGATATAAAAAAAAAATTCAGGATTACAGCTCTATCGGTTCACCTAAATCCAAATTTAGTACATTTTAGTACATATGAGTACAAATTTCCAAAACTATCTACTCTACTCAACTATCTCAATACTACTCACCGACAATAATCTTATTTGAAATTTTCAGGATAACAGCTCTATTGGTTCACCCAAATCCAAAAATTGTACCAAATTTAGTGCACTTAAGTACAAATTTTCAAAACTACCCACATTATACAAATGTGGTACCATTTAGTGCTATTCGTGCACATAAGTATAAATTTCGAAAACTTCCCCCCCTTGTCCCAGTCCAATACTCCGTCAGTAATAATAATTTCCAAGCAAAATTGTACGAAATTTAGTACCATTTTGGATACGTACGATTAGGATAAGAACGAATTTCCCAAAATTACCCACATTCCTCAGTCCTAGAACGCAATAATAATCTTTCTAAAATTAAGAATTCCAACCCAAAAATTAAATTGTACTAAATTAAGTACCATTTAGTAATTATAGAAAACTTCCTCCAACTTTCCGCAAGTGATGTTAGTTTCAAATTTCAACCAAAATTTAAATTGTACCAAATTTAGTACATATAAGTACGAATTTCCAAAATTACGTACATTCCTCAGGTCCTTGAATGCAATAGTAATCTTTTTTCTAAATTTCAGTAATCCAGCTCTATCGGTTCGCCGAAATTGTACCAAATCTACTCCCATTTAGTACTTTTCGTGCACATCAGTACAAATTTCGAAAACTTTTTTCAAAATCCCAATTCAACACTCCATAAAGTAATGTTAATTTCAAATGTCAAGCTTTCCGTTCCTCCAAATATAAATTGTACTATATTTCGTACCGTTTAGTACTTTTCGTATACATGAGTACAAATATCCAAAATTACAGCTTTACATTGACTCTACTCCTCATGGAATGGAAATCTAATCTAATATTTTTATTTTCTTTCCTTGCAGTTCTATACCGAACAATGGACAGAGGAGAAAATCAAATATGAAGTGGAGCGTTCCCGTCTATCTCAGCAGCATGCCAAGGGGCTGTCTTTGCGCACCGTGGTTGCCTACGGCGAACACTCTTCGTATCCATTCTATATTTCCAGCAATGTAACCGATATTGAAGTGACCGATCAAAGCCTCTTGGTTATAGAATCGGGTAGTCAATATTATGACGGTACCACCGATGTTTCGAGGACCTTTATTTTCGGTGAACCCACAAATGATATGAAACAAACCTACACCATGGTGTTGGCGGGAATTTTACGTTTGTCACATTTGAAATTTCCCTCCGATTTGAAGGTCTCGAAATTGGATGCATTGGTGCGTAGTCCCCTGTGGACCACCATGAGTGATTATCCGGGTGCGACAGGACATGGTATTGGAGTGTATGGGGCGGTGCGAGAACGTAGGTATTGCGGGAAATTAGTTAATACAAAATTTTTAATATATTCTTGTCTCTTTCTAGCTCCAATTTCGGTGGACTATGGCCATGATAGTCATTTTCATTTCAAGGAGGGTTATTTCTTTTCAAGTGGTAAGGCGTAGCTGTCAATTTTTATACCCTCCACCATACTATGGAGGGTATATTAATTTTGTCATTCCGTTTGTAACTCCTCAAAATACTCATGTCAGACCCAACAAAGTATATATATTCTTGATCAGCGTAAAATTCTAAGACGATTTAGCCATGTCCGCCTGTTTGTCCGTCTGTCTGTCTGTTGTAATCACTCTATCTTTCGAACGAAATGAGATAGAAGGCTAAAATTTTGCACACATGTATATTTTGCTGGTAGGCAGGTTACGTTCGTAAATGGGCCATACAGGTCCAAGTTATCATAGCCTTATATGGGGGTACCTCCTGATAGTCGGTATTTTGATGATTTTAGCGACATTATTCACCGGAATTGTTTCAAATTTGGCATTTGAAGTTCGTAATGAATACTACAACCTAAGACAGAAAATTGTATGTGCAGGTCCACGTCTTCGTATAGCACCCATATAACGGTACCCCCCGATATTCGGTATGTTGATGATTTTAGCGACATTATTTAACGGAATCGTTCCAAATTTGGTATTTGAAGTTCGTATTGAATACTACAGCCTATGAGAGAAAATTGTCTGTGCAGGTCCACGTCTTCGTAGAGCCCCCATATAACGGTACCTCCCGATATTCAGTATTTTAATATTTTTAGCGACATTATTTGCCGGATTTGTTTCAAATTTGGTATTTGAAGTTCGTAATGGATACTACATCCTAGGTCAAAAAATTAGCCATGTAGGTCCACGGTACCCCCCGATATTCTGTATTTTGATGATTTTAGCGACATTATTTAACGGAATCGTTCCAAATTTGGTATTTGAAGTTCGTAATATATACTGCAGCAAAAAAACAGAAAATGGGCCATGTAGGTCCACGTTTTCGTATAGCCCCCATATACCGTACCTCCCGATATTCTGTATTTTGATGATTTTAGCGACATTATTTACCGGGATTGTTTCAAATTTCGCATGTGGATTTCGAAATGGATACTTCAGCCCATGCCAGAAAATTGTCTGGGCAGGTCCACGTCTTTGTATAGCCCCCATATAACGGTACCCCCTATATTCGGTATTTTGATGATTTTAACATAATTTTTAACGGATTTTTTTTGGTCAACGTGGTCGTATGCAGGTCAAAGTCGTCGTATAGGCATTCGGTATTTTTAAGATTTTAACAGAATTTTTAACGGATTTTTTTTGGAAATTGCCAAATTTGTACCAAATGGTGGAGTGTATTAGAAGTTCGGCCGGGCCGAACTTACAGCTTTTCTACTTGTTAAAAATTTAATTAGATATTGATTCATAATTTTTTAATTGTTATTTGTTACAGAATCCGGCCACTATAAAAATGGAGAATATGGTGTGCGCTTGAAGAATGTACTGGAGGTAAAGAATACCCATAATGTCCATCCATCTGGGGCCAAATATTTAGCATTCCAAGATGTAACCTTAGTGCCTTATGAGCCACGCTTGATTGATGGTACTCTGCTGAGTTCACTGGAGGTAAGTAATTTTTTAATTTTAATCAATGGAATAATTTTAAAAATATTTATGTTTTTAATCCCTCAGAAACGCTGGCTCAACGAATACAATGCCAAAATTCGCCAATATGTGGGCGAAGAACTGAAACGCCAGGGCAACATGAAAGCCTTCTATTGGATGATGAATAAGACCCGGCACATACGTGAATATCTACCCGAGGAAGAGTATCGGGCAGCCACGGGAGCTGGGTCACGTACCCGGGCCTTCTTAACCATTACAGTGCCGGCCATATTATTAGGACTGACGGTGTTTGGTAGCTTTTTACGTTGGTTGTTATAAGGGGAGGAGTTATATTTTTTAAATTATTTTTTTATTAATTCCTAAACAAATAAAAAAAGGATATATCACTTTAAAACGGGACCAAACAAAATTCTAAAATTCTGACAATATTCCCCATTATGAATAACAAAGTAATCAAATTTTGCTGTAACATAGGATTTCATTTGAAATAAGTTAAGTATAGCTAGCTGCACATATACATACATATGAATATGTAGTTAAAAAAAATTATTAAATATTATTAAATTGATATGTAAATTTATCATTGTTTATATAAATAGATTAGTTATAAAAAAAAGAAATATTAATGCAAATTGAAAATTATTAATTAATTAACAAATAAATATGTATTATTTTTTATAATCAAACTAGTTTGATTTGGCATTCCAGAATTTTCATAGATATGCTTGTGTATGCAGGTCCATAGTAACAAAGATTGGAATTGGATTTCCTTCATAGACTGAAGATATTTAAGACGGAGGAGAGAAATCTTAAAAATCGCAAAGAGATGAAAAAACTGCAAACAACATCAGACTGCTGTCATTTCTAAGCCACTCGTCCGACAGCTGTTAAAATTATTCTAGTGAAAGCTCCTTATATTGTCTACAAACGTACAATAGCAATTTTGTGAGAATTTTCCAAGAAAAAAGTTATTCGTTATGGAATTCGAGCGTGATGGTGTAATTTCTTTATATTCGGCTGGAAAACCACAGGTGGCTATCGTTAGACCACTCCAGCATTTAAATGTGATCAAAACTTTTGTGTCTCGTATCATCGCTTGTTATAGTTATACTGGTAGCGTAGCCGGACGTCAAGGAAGTGGACGGAAGAAAACAGCAATATCAGCAGAAATGCTTCGAAAAGTAAAGAAGCGGCTTGATCGAATCCCGTGGCTCGTGAGCTGAACATATCGCAATATTCCATTCGGCCACTATTGAAAAATTAACTCGGGGTAAAGTCATTGAAGTTCCAAAAAGTGCAAGAAATTACACCGCAACAGAAAGAAAATAGTCTCAAAAGAGCTAAAGAGTTGCTTCGCTTGGCCGAAAGTGGTGAACTGCCGAATTTGGTTTTCTTCGATGAGAAAACATTCGTTGTCTAGCAGTTTGTAAACAAACAAAATGATCGTGTTTACTTGCCAAAGAGGTCAGCTGAAAATGTGCGCCTTCGGTTGGCCACCAGAACTCAAGCGCCGGCCATGGTCATGGTGTGGGCCGCCATAACAGCCGATGATCGCTTCCTGCTCGTATTAATCGACCGTGACATCAGAATATATACCGAATATTATCGCGAATATATTCTGGAGGGTGAATTAAAGCCTAGGGCACGCACCATCGCACTTAGCACGCGCCTCCCAAGAATGGTTACCAAAATCTCCGGATACCAAACCGTTGTGTCTGGAGTATTTTGGAAAGCAAGGTTGGCACTAAAAAAATACCAAATTGTCGATCGCCTCAAGCAAGTGCTTCGACGGAAATGGGCCAAAATAACGCAGAGCAACATTCGGGCTGCGTGTGACGGTTTTATTAGCCGTTTGAAGGTCATAATTCGTGCCAATGGTGACAAAAATTCGAAAAAATCATGTGGAGGAGGTACCAGAAGGAGTGGACAGATGTATTCCACCTTTATACCAAATCTTGGGTTAATAAAAGTTTTGTGATGTGTGAAATTGGAAGACCATGGGGCTCTTACATCACATTTATAAGAGTTATAATTATTCAAAATTTTAACCCATTGTGGGGGGAGGTACTTGATAGAGTAGACCGATATTGTCCATTTTCGCACCTGACCTAGCACTGACGCAAATATTAGGATTTGCAAAGTTGGATCAAAATGGAATTAACGTTTCTCTTTTTGTGCAAAAAAAATATTTTTTAAAAATTTCGACCCACAAAGATTCCAATATTGCCTATCTCTGAATTCGACAAAAATATTACGATTTACCAAGTTTGGACCAAATCGGAAACTCCCTTCGAGAGTTATCGTGCGCACCAGCCAGTCAGACAGACAGACGGACAGACGAGCGGACATCGCTAGATCGACTCTAAATGTCGAGAAACGGATTTGGTCCAAAGAGACTTAGGGTCAAAGACCGTTATTTCGACTGACACGTTTTTCAAATGATATATACCCTTTCTAGCCATATGGCTGAAGGTATAACTATTATGTACTATAGTTCTAATATACACATACTAATAAATTTAAAAAATAAAGGTAAAAACGGCAATTCAAAGTAAAAGGCTACGAAAAGTTCTAAAATGGTACTAAACGTCTAAAATTTCATATGAGAATCAAGAATGGAAAATAAGTTTGATATACATACATACATATTTGAAAATTTGAGGGAAGTGTACGTAATGGATACTTTTGGGTATTATAATTGCACGAAAATTACTAAATAGTTCCAAATTTGGTATTGGGTGAGCGGATAGAGCTGGAGTCCTGAAATTTGATATAGATGTCACTGTTGGTGTGTGAAGTTCTGAAAATGAGGTGTTTTGGAAATGCATACTATATAGGATTAAGATATAGTGGTGACCAATTTTTATTATTTACTATTTTATACGGTCAGATAAAATGGATGTGGGTGGAACCAATGTGAAAGGGTTTAACTTTTATAGGAGAAGGCCAAAATTTTCCTATTATTCAGCCAGAATCAAATAAGCTTCTAAGTCTTTATGTAGCCAGTGTAATTTTTAGTATTTATTTCTTTAGTACTTTTCGAATATATCGTACAAATCCTCGAGAGTATTTACGTTTCAAACTCATAATTATCTTAATACCGAATTTTGTCATATCAGTTCTATTCTCACTTTTCGTACTCCGTATATTACGCAGTTCCAAATCCACATCCTTGTCTAAAACGTACACACTCACAGTGATCATAATACCCATAATTCACATTCCACATTACATTCTTAGCTAAATAATATAATTTAGTACCATTTAGTACTTGTCGTACACTATACGCTACATATTTGCAAATACACTTCCTTAACTAAACGCTTTGCCATAACACCGTCATTTATAATTTTGCTTCTATTCCTACGCACTATGCCAAATTTAGTACAATTTAGTACTTTTCGTACACTTATTGTATGCATTTCAAAAATTACCTCCATACATCAGACGTACTTAACAATATTGATTCCAAGATTTTAGCTCTACCCGCAAAAAATCATTATGCTACCAAATAAGTAGGTTTTAGTACTTTTCGTCTACTGAAAATTCGAATTTAGGAAAAAAGGCTTTGGGACATCTTTGCTATATTCCACCATTCCAAATTTTAGAATTACAGTTGCATCCTTTCCGCCCAATTCTAATGATAAATATGAACCTTTTAGTACTTTCCGTTCCGATGTTTTTCCTTGCGCCTTTTTATCACAGGCAAACCTACGTACCAAAAATTTAGAGTTTTAGAATCAGTATTAAGGGTTCCATAAGTAGTATATTTTCGTACCTCTCTGGTATAAATTCTCAAGATCCTAACGCCAGCCTTTTTTATTCTGAGCGTTGATAAATCTCTCAGTCAGTCAGTAAATTAGTGAACTCATCTTTTCAATTATTATTTTAGGAAATTTGGAGCTTTTGTGTGACGTGCCCGAAGCAGTGAACAATATGGTCCGAACTTATTAAGGACACACCATAGTTCCGTGGAGCGCTCTGTTAAATATTCCGTTAAAATATCTCACATTGTATGCTGCAAATTTTTATATTTTATTTTAATTTAATTATTTTAATTTATTATCTACATTTTACTGAATATAAAACAAGGAAGAATATTCCAAATAATTTGTTCCCGCAGCATAAACTTTTACTTCAATGGAACTGGTACCAATGCTGCCGGCTGAAACGTTGCAGCCCACATTTTGTGTGGAAACAACAAAATGTACCTCGACATAGGTGATAATTCTACCAACATTGCTTTTGTCGCAGCTGACAGTCAATTCCACATTTTGTTCACTGGGCCAGGCGACGGAATCGGAACCAACACATCCCAGAGAATCTATATTCGAAACTATAAAATTGTATTCATAATTTTTTTAATGGTTTTATGAACATACCAGTTTTAATTTGTCCCACTGTGCACACAAAACCATAGAGGGTGTCTCCCGATTTTGTTTTCTGAACCGACTTCAATTCCTTGAGAACAGGTACTTCGTTTGCATTAACAGGGGAGACCTTTAAATGCTTTACAGCTGGCTCCTCTAGGGATTTTCCAGGATTGACATTTAAAACAACACCGGCCTGTAATGTGGAGAGGCATCCCAAAAGACCCAGAATTACTAACTGCTTGGTGGACAACATGTTGTTGTATGGAGGCACAGATTTGAAGACTGTTTGAAATGACAATAAAATCGTTGCCTTTATATATAGCTCTAATTTTCTTCGCCAATCACAATTATCAGTTCCGTATTAAAAATGATATGTTTCGAAGAAATGGATGTTAATCTCCTATTTGGAAAATTCTTTGGAAATTGCATTCTTATCTGCATTTCGAGGTTCTTTTTGAAGTATCTAAAGTTATAAGTAAACACAATAGGAAAACCAATGGGTTCGACTTTGTATAACGTTTATCATCAAATTAATAAATTTGCTTGGGGACCGGCAGCGAAAAGTTCAGCAATTCCATCAAAGGGAAGCGATTTAACAAAAGTTTTTAATCAAAACTTCGTACATCGCAATAAATTTTAAGACTTTTAAGGTTTTATATATTACTCACGTTTTTCCTTGAAAGAATTCTACGAAAAGAATAATAGGAAAATGTTTACCAAAGAGTCTCCAAAATCTTTAGTTCTGGAGTTTACCGAGGAGGATATTAGAAAAAAAAACCATTGGGCCCACATTCAATTTTTCAGTCCCTAAATCTCGTCTCCATATGTATGTGAACCTGAACTTCAATATCAAATTTCCGAATTTCAGTTTTCTAGACACCAAGAGTACAATTTACCAAGAGTGCCATTTACGAAACTTAATGCTTCTTGAACAATAAGAGTACACATTTCCAAAACCACCTCCATATCTTAACCACCGCAGACACCAAAAGAGATTTCTGTATTAATTTAAAAGAATTTTAGCTCTATTCCTTCAGGTAAACCAAACTTAGTACCAGCCGAGACCTCAATACCAGATTTCGGGATTCCAACTCTATGCCTTCACTTAATTCCCGAATTAGTACCACCTAGTACTTTTCGTACAATTATGGTACACATCTCCAAAACTAATTCCAAATCTCAATTCAAAATATCAACGGCAACCTCAACATCAAATTTGAGGATTTAAGGCCTATCTCGACAAC